AAAAACCTGTTGGAGGTGCAGGTGTAGCCAGAAAGGGTTAACATGCCAGGGCTGGTCTTAGTACAGCAATGTGGACTTTCACCTCTGCTTTGAGGTCAGGGGCAAGCTGTGTTTTATTGAGTGCATGGACCCTTTGGGTCCTTTCTTGTCCTACGATCCTATTTATCACCTGCTTCCTTTATTATTGGGTGTTCACTTTATGGTCCCATGAAGTCCTACGCACCAGCTAATAGCAATAGTAAAAACAATATAAAGTTCCATACTCTAAGTTGTGGACTTGGTTGGCTCACACATACATCCCTTGAGTACTTGGAAGTATGCTGTACATTTCTCAGATTATGATACCAAAAAGGCCAATAAAAGTATTTTCTCGACTCCTAAATCACCATTTATTGTTTTGCTGTCCTTATGTTTCTGGGTGATTCTGGAATCAGGTCATTAGAGGTCACATGTGCAATCTTTGTTGCAGGTCTCCCTTGAGGACAGTCAGGTGCTGGGAGACAAGAACCCAGTGGTAATTTGCCTCTCACGTTTTCCTCATTTCCCAAAGTGCTTTAATCCTATCTGGACGTGTGTGCTCCCTTTAAATTATCTCATTTCCAGATGAATTCAAATAGAAAGTGCTTTTTTTTTGAAATTATATGTGAATTTTAGGTGAATTTTATATGAACTTTCAGTAACCCCCCAACAGATTCATTTTACCTGTATTATTAACTTTAAGCCAAATAATTTATTGGAGAATCAAGATGAAACACAGCTAGATTCTCTGACATTTAAGTTAGGAAAAACAATGGGGAAGAGGGAGGAAGATAGCCTTTGGCATTTTTAACATAAAATAATGTATTTTCATATAAATATAGTAAATAATAATAAAATTGTCCAAACTAGAGTTATCTTTATTTTCCATTTGAGGAAAAAGCTCTATTCCAAGATTTTAAAGTTTTTTATCTTTACTGATTTAGTATCCATTGAAACAGTTATGTAGTCTTTTTTCTTTTTTTTTCTTTTTTTTTTTTTTTTGACAGGCAAAGTGGACAGTGAGAGAGAGAGAGACAGAGAGAAAGGTCTTCCTTTGCTGTTGGTTCACCCTCCAATGGCTGGTGCACCGCGCTGATCCGATGGCAGGAGCCAGGTGCTTCTCCTGGTCTCCCATGGGGTGCAGGGCCCAAGCACCTGGGCCATCCTCCACTGCACTCCCTGGCCACAGCAGAGAGCTGGCCTGGAAGAGGGGCAACCGGTACAGAATCCAGCGCCCCGACCGGGACTAGAACCCGGTGTGCCGGCGCCACAAGGCGGAGGATTAGCCTAGTGAGCCGCGGTGCCGGCCAGTTATGTAGTCTTAATATAATAATTTTGACCCTTGCCATAATTAGAAGCTAGATGTATTAGCTAAAATTGTTTTTTTTTTTCAATCACATTCTTTGGCAGAACTGAGGTGTTTGGTGGAAACAAACTGTTCTATTTATTACACACTTGTTCGGTTTGCTTAGGTTTGTCAAATATATCTTGTTTACTTTAAAAATACTGTAATATTGAAAGCTATGAGATACACACATACATATGAAATGCATTTAGGCTTTTTTGAAGTAGCATCCTACCTGGTTGCTGATGGAAAAAAGAAAATGTAACATTACATGTCCTTGTGTGTCTGAAACAGAGTCCTTATTTCTAATGTCTAGTCTAAAAGTCTGATGCCTTTTTATTTAATTTTTTAAGACCATCAAATATTTCCAGTTTAACCCCAGAACTGTTGCCATGCTTAGTATTTCTGCTGTGTGAACAGGAGCTATCCCTGCCATCTCATAAACGTCTAACTCTTTTTTTTTAACATATTTACTGAGATATATTTCATATGGCATAAAATTCAGATAAAATGTGCAGTTCAGTGGATTCTAGAATAATCAGAGTTGTGCCATGATCATCAGAATTTAATTTGCAAATGTCAACATGACCACAAAGAGAATCCTGTCTACCAGTACATGAGCCATCATCCCTCATTCCCGCTCAACCCTGTCCAGCCCCAGGCAAACCTTATGCAACTTGCTGTCTGGGGATTTGCCTATTTTGGACATTTCGTACAAAGGGACTCATACAATATGTGCTCTTTTGTGTCTGGTCTCTTTCGCTTAGCTTAATATTTTCATGGTTCATCCATGTTTGTAGCACTGTGCGTAAATTATTACTGTATTTCTTTTAGTTACAGAACAATATTCCCTTGTATGCCACATTTTGCTCACACATTTATCAGTTGAACCATTTAAGCTCTTTCTGCCTTTTGTTTGTTACAAACAGTGTTCTATGAGCATCCAGATACAACTGAGTAGATGTAGGCTTTCAGTTCTCTTTGTTGTATATCTAGGAGTGGAATATGGGAATTCTATGTTTAGCATTTTGAGGAATGGCTGAAGTGTTTTCTAACATGGCGGCTCTGTTTTATGTTCCCGCCAGCAAAGTGTAAGAGTTTCCGTTTCTCCACATGCTTTCCCACATTTATTACTGTCTGCCTCTTTCATTTTAGCCATCCTGGTGGGTGTGAAGTGGTTTCTCACTGTGTTTTTGGTTTCATTTCCCTAACTAATGATGTTGAACATCTTTTCATGTCCGTATTGACAAAAGCCCATTTTTGATTCTGCACACAATCTGAGCCAAAAAGTTTAATTGTCTTCACATATAGTTTTGAATATTTTCTCCCTTTTTTGACACTGTTTTGGCAGAGAACAAAGAGTTTGTGCTGAGCAGTCCTCTGCATCAGTTACAACGTCAGTCCAACATCCCGGCTCTCTGTTGGAAGGAAAACTAATTCTTCCCTAAAGATTTCTAATCTTAGAGGAGTAAACTAGGAAGTAAGTGAAGCGTGTTTGAATCTAATCATTCTGGATTATCACGACACTCTTTTCTCTCCCCTTTGAAGAGGTTGTTATTTTTATTTTCTCTTAAAGCCACACTTTTTAGTTAATTAAATAATCTGAGAGGCAGAGATAGGCACAGAGAGATCACATATGGTGGATCAATCCCAAAATTCCCACAATAACTGGAGCTGGGCCAAGGTGAAGCTGGAGACGAGAACTCAATCTAAGTATCCAAAGTGGTTGCCTGGGACACACATAATTGAGCCATCACCTACTGCTTGCAGGTTGTACGTGAGCAAGAAGCTGGAATTTAAAGTGGAGCTGAGGTTGAACCCAGGAATTCTGATTTGGGATGTGCGTGTCCCTGTTGGTATCTTAATGGTTTGACCCAACCTATTCTTTTCATAGAGCCTTCTCTCTGGGAAGGAAATGAAGTGTATAAACACCAAGAAGGACTTGGTGGCTAAATCTCATGGTGTGTCATTCCCAAGATTATGTTGAGAATGAAGGACTAAAAAGGCGAACTTCTTAGTGATACACTAAAGCAACATCAAGAGATGGAGATTTTCTTTAAGTGATCTCTTCATCAGTTGAGGCCTTTCAGTTGTATATGATCATGCAGCTTGACAACGGTCACATAATGGCTCCAATGGTACCATTAATATCAATGGCTCAGAACAGATTGGTTTATTTCTCATGATTCTTGGAGGCTTCCAGCTCATATCATCTCAACAATCTCTTCAAGAAAAAAGGGAGGGATAATTTTTGGCTTAGCAGTCACATACTAGTTAAGATGCTCACACCCCATATCAGAATGCGTGGGTTTGAGTCCTGATTCTGCTCCTAATTCCAGCTTTCTGCTAATGTACACCCTGTGGGGCAGCAGTGATAGCTCAAGTAATTGGGTTCCTGCTGTCCACATTGTGGGGGGTTTTGTATGTGTTTCTGATTCTCATCTTTGAGCTCAGCCCAATACCAGCCATTGACATTTAGGGAGTGAATTGGTGGATGGCTGTTCTCTGTCTCTGTCTCCCTGCCTCTCAAATAAATAGATTTTTAAAAAGAAAGAAAAAAAAATGCTTCTCTGATACTCCAAAGTCCCAAAGCTGAGTTTTCCTGGCCCCAGCTGACTTGATCTAAATCACATGCTCATCCCTGAATCCATGACTGCAGCCAGCACGATGAGCTTGCCAATGGCTTGCTTTGGGACATGTGGTCCCCCGTGGGTCGTGGGCTGAGGTTGCCTTATTAGAATCACTTGGGTTGTTGATGGCAAGACATGGTGAAGAAGGGCAGGAGCCTCATTGTGTCAGGATGATCATGACCACTATCTCCTGAAAACCACAGATCACCAGCAGGATTCTTCTCTCAAAGGGCAGAACTGGAAGAGTATAGTAAGGAGCCATCCAAGGCATTGATTCTCAGACCTTTGTGGATATAATAGTTGACTAGGACTTCCCTATCCTGCCATTGTATTTTAGAAACAGACAATTTATCTAGTTTCACAGGTTAAAGAGAGAAGAATTATTCCTACATTGAACCATGCTCTTGCTTCACCAATAGTTCACTTAGATGGTATTGGGATGACATTTTTCTCTTAAAGTTGATATTGGGCAAAAACTTCTGGGGATATTGAAATGTGTAGGATGTATTTTGTGTGTGGGAAGGGCATGAATTTTGGGAGACAAGAGTGCAGATTGTTAAGGTTTGAATTGTGTCCTTAAAAAATTCATGTGTTGAAATCCCAAACTCCAGATTCTGAGAAGGTTACTTACTGGAAAATGGGGTTGTTGCAAGCGTGATTATTTAAGATGAGTTCCATAGAGTGAGGCACTCATCCAGTAACGCTGGTGTTCTTATTAAAAAAAAAAAAGTTCACCACAGAGACATACACACAGGGAAAACATGCATATTGAGAGTTCACAAACCAAGAAACCACCAGAAGGTAAGAGAGAGTCCTGGAGCAGATCATTCTGTAGAGCTTTCAAAGGGAGGGAGGCCCTGCAGGAGCAAAGCCACAAAATAAGTGGTCCAGACAACAAAAATATATCAGCTCCAGTCCTGAGACTGAAATTAAGATGTCAGCCAGGACGTGACTTAGGATAACAGTATCTGATATTCTTGTTTTCTTGTTGCCTTGTTTTTCAACAGAAGAAACAAAAGCATCCGAAGATGATGAAATGGAGAAACTCTACAAATCACTTGAACAAGCTAGTTTGTCTCCTCTTGGGGACCGACGACCTTCAACCAAAAAGGAGTTGAGGAAGTCCTTTGTTAAGCGGTGCAAAAACCCATCCATAAATGAGAAACTCCACAAAATTCGAACCTTGAATAGCACATTAAAGGTAAAGCCATTAAAGATCGTGGTGAACTCTGCAGAGATGGTGTGAAGCGTGGGTGGTTCTCCTGTGACAGCCAAGATAACCACTGTGTGTTTCTGTGGGTAGAAGAAGGGCAGGAAAATAAACAGAGTCTTCATGTGATAAGATGATCCTGGGTATTCTAAAAGCATCAGAAGGGTTACACAGCAGCACCTAATACCATATTCTACAGTATGCCCTGGTTTTTATGTGTACTCCACTATAAAATTCAAATTTTAAGCTCCTAGACAAAAAGGACCATGTATAATTTGTTTTTGTATTTCTCATACCTACTGCAGTAACTGGTGTTGATGAGACACAGGATCATCAATTGATGAGAATAAGCACTGATATCTGTAAGGTCTTAAGTTTTCATCTGATTCACTCAAGTGTGCCATTCTTCTGTAGTGCACCCAAAGGAAAATGTCTGGATTTCACATACAGCAAAGACTTAGAAACTCCCAGCTCTAGGCTCTGCTGCCAATGAACACCATGAGAGCTGGGCAGTGGGAAGTATACAATTTGTGGTAAGAGACCCACAGATGTTTTCACTGTGGAAATAAGGGACAGTGTACAGGATGTACTGAAGCTATTTTCAGGGCCTCTTGTGACTAACATGGTTCCTTGTAACAAAAGCATGCTGCTTTTGCATTTAGATTATAACGCAGACAGGGAGAGACCAGGATACTTTGTAAAGTAGTCCTGAATTAGCAGAAGAGTTATCAGGTTCTTTTAGCCTTAATAGATCCTGCAATTTAATTCTGCTTTGTACCTGTTCTTTTACATGAAGAATTTGAGTCCCTTTCCAGGAAGAATTGTCAACAATGAAAAGGACAAGGCTACAAACAGGGGTGGAGTGGCTCTTATTCAGACATGCCAGTTAGTCAGCAGAAGAGCGAAGCACCCTAAAATGTTGCAAAAATGAGGCTAGAAAGGAAAGGGAAGGACATGGTTCAACATAGAAAGAAAATTTAAATGCAGTGAAATTCTGCAATATTTAATGATGAATGATGTCACTAAGGACTCATCCCACAAGATGTACAGAGTTGATAAGTCTGCTTATGCTGGGTCATCCAATGTAACATGCCAGGGGATATTAGGATTTTACTCTCATATTTATCTCTGAAAGCTGATGTGAGTGGATACATTTCACTGAACAGATATTTCCTGAACCTTACTAAGGAGCAAACACTATTCTATGAGCACCAGGATTGTTAAGTGGACTTCATTGGGCAATGTAGTATAGTAGTTATTTAGTGTTAGGTAACAAATTACTTCTGAACCTAACAATTTCAAGCAGTTAGTATTTATCACTCCAGAGTTTCTGTGGATCAGGAATCTGGGCATGCCTTTGCCCTGGTCTCTCACAAAGTTGTGATAAGCTGTCCCCTGGGGCTGCATTCATCCCTCCCTGGGGACACCGGCTTTCAAGTTCTCGCATGTGTTGTTGGCAGGATTCAGTTCCTTGGTCTTGTTGGGTTGAGGGTCTCAAATCGCTCACCAGCTATTGTCTGGAGGCTACCCCAGTTCCTTGTTATGCCGGCTTCTTCACAGGACCGCTCACCATTTGGGAGCTGGCTTCCCTCTGGGTGAGCCAGACAGGGAGAGCTGTAAGCAAGCTGGGTTATAACACAATCAAAGTGGTGACATCATGTTTCTTTTGCAATCTTCTATTCAGTGAAAGCAAGTTACTGGTCAGTTTATACTCAGGGAGGCGATGACAAACGGAAGCAAGGAATGTTGAGGGCCATCTCAGGGGCCAGCTTCTACACCCAGCTGAAGAACTGCTCTGTGGACATTTGTGGAAGGCAGTCCTTTCCAAGGACCCTGGAGGCCTCACAAATGTGTAGTGTAGGGGGCTGATGACAGGGAACCCACGCCATGTGGTCCTACTAACCTCAGGAAGTGGCATCATAGGATGTGAGAGTTGGCTTTGCTGGAAAACAAAACAAAACAAAACAAAGCCCATCAGCCTCTTCAGTAGCAGAAGATGATTTGACTCTTGCATGTTGATTCCTGTCAAAAGATGATGATTTGCTTTTTACTGGTTTTCAAATTCAAAGCACTCAGGATAGCAGTTAGTTCCATTGAGGAACAGGATATGCTAGGAATGGGAGGGGCACACATGGAGCCCCTGAATTGCTGGCTAAGGGTCCTTTGTGGCCTCAGTGTTGCCCCCATAGGTGTGTTTATTTTGTGTAGAAAGTGCAAACCGGCCAGCGCCATGGCTCAATAGGCTAATCCTCCACCTGCAGCGCCGGCACCCCAGGTTCTAGTCCTGGTTGGGGCGCCGGATTCTGTCCCGGTTGCTCTTCTTCCAGTCCAGCTCTCTGCTGTGGCCCGGGAAGGCAGTGGAAGATGGTCTAAGTCGTTGGGCCCTGCACCCACATGGGAGACCAGGAGAAGCACCTGGCTCCTGGCTTTGGATCAGCGCGGTGCACCGGCCGCAGCGCGCCAGCCGCAGTGGCCATAGGGGGGTGAACCAACGGAAAAGGAAGACCTTTCTCTCTGTCTCTCTCTCTCTCACTGTCCACTCTGCCTGTCAAAAAAAAAAAAAAGTGCAAACCTTCCTATTTGTGCACTTTTGTCTCTGTTTCCTTGCAGCAAGCATGTTTACTTTTTAAAACAAGAAAACTTCAATCTGGAGTGTAGACATTCAAGGACAGCAGAGTTCCATACGTACATAAGGAGACTGTTTTAAGAAAAAGGTTTATGTTAGTGATAGGAAGATTTCCTAAATAAACAAAAATCCCCAGACTGTGACTGTAGTCTAATGAATGCTCTTTGGGGAACTTCAAGAACATTGACAAAGTATCCCGTCAGACACTGTATATCGATCTTCCGAAATTTCTGAAGGTTTGGCATTTATTGACTTTGGCTAAGCCTGTCTAGATTTCAAAATGAGTGATTAGGGGAATGATTAGCAGGTCTGAATGAGACTCTCCCTGTGTTACTCTGGTCTACGTCAGAGAAGAGGAAGCCTCCCTTCCCTGTATCACGTTTCTAATTCTTAGGTATCGAGTCAAGCAATGTTGTGAATATTTGCAGTAAAAATTGCTGCATTATGCCTTTCACAATAATTTTGGAAATCCTGCAAACCTTGCTTACCTGCCAGAGTGAGGCAGATGCTGTCAAAGTAGTTCAAAGTAGTTCACAGCCATCCAGGAGAAGCAGGGCCATTGCATCTTGCTCTGACCCCCAGGGTGCTTGGTTTAGGAAGGAGCTAAGATGGTCTTGTTAACTTCCTTCCTCTGTGTTATCTACAGTTGTTTTTTCTATTAAAGAACTAACATAGATTTCAGCCACATGGTAACAAATTTGAATTGTTTAGTGCCATAAATGAGAAGTGTTGACCTCATGGTCAAAGTTGCAGAAATCATTCCTTCAAAATATTTCATGAGATTTACAAGGGTAGTTAATTCATTTTTGTCTTTTTATAGGCAATTTCCAAAATTTTTGTTAATCTTTAAAAATATCACTTAGGGTTTTCAATAAGATACTTGAATCTCCCTCTAAAACAGATGTCTAATTTCTTTTGAACAAAAATGAGGTTCCTGAAATTATTTCAAATTAAAAGCACTATGGTGATATCAGAGGATGAAGGCTTATTATTTGTCTGTTGAAAATTTTTTTCTTAGTGTAGACAGAGCTCAGAAAGAAGAAATAGAACTTTCTTGTCCCTAGGTGACTTTCTACAAACAATCCCCCCCCCCCCCCCCCCCCAGTTACTCATTTAACTTTCCTTTCCTCAATTTAATGGGTCTTGGTCTGCTTGCTTGTTATGCCAGTTTGGTTACTTTTTTTTTTTTTTTTTTGACAGGCAAAGTGGACAGTGAGAGAGAGAGACAGAGAGAAAGGTCTTCCTTTGCCATTGGTTCACCCTCCAATGGCTGCTGTGGCCGGCGCGCTGCGGCCGGCGCACCGCGCTGATCCGATGGCAGGAGCCAGGTATTTATCCTGGTCTCCCATGGGGTGCAGGGCCCAAGGACTTGGGCCATCCTCCACTGTACTCCCTGGCCACAGCAGAGAGCTGGCCTGGAAGAGGGGCAACCGGGACAGAATCCGGCGCCCCGACCAGGACTAGAACCCGGTGTGCCGGCACCGCAAGGTGGAGGATTAGCCTAGTGAGCCGCGGCGCCGGCTGGTTACTTTCTAATTCCAATATCTTTAAAAATCATTTCTGGCTGAAATGCTGCTTCACTTTCCCCTTTCTCTCTCTCTCTCTCTCTCTCTCTCTCTCTCTGCATCTATACCTTTCTATGCCTATAAAATTTATTATTTTTATGTAAGAAATCTACTCAGACTCTAAATAAGTTTTATGATGCAAATGAGAAAAACCCAAATGGATAATTAGTTCATTCACTCATTAATTATTTAATATATTTTTTCAGCAAGTATTCAATGAAAGTTCACCATGTGTCAGTCATTCTTTTGGGTATTTTGGGATACAGCATATCACACAAAAACACCTACTTTCTTAAAACTAACATTTCATTATGGAAATAAATAAAATTAATTATTACAATTTATATAATATGATAAATGGTGATATATTTCAAAGAGAATAGAAAAGAGGGATAGGGAATGTGGGAGAATTGATTTTTAATTAGGAAAGACATGAAAGGTCTCTTTAAAAGATGGAATTTGTGTAAAGTCTGAAAAAATTTAAAGTGAGTGTTGAGTTTATCAGAGGCAGAATTCTCCAGGCAAAAGGAATAAACATTCAAACGCTTTAGGAGTGTGGCTAGTTTGTTTAATGAGTGAAGAGCAAGACAGTGTGGTTGGAGTGTGACAGGGGATGGGGTGCAGGGGGCCACAGTGGGCCAGGGAGGCAATGAAAAGTCACAGGGTTGGGACTTCTCAACCCTGCAGACACCTTGAGTTCTACCAGCAGTGACTTAGGAAGCCTTTGGAACCTTCTGAACAGACACATGGAGCTGTTTGATATATTTGGAAGGTAGAACTGCCAAGATTTGCTGGTGGATTCAGTGTGAGAGGAGTGAAGGATGACGCCAATATTTTCCCTGAGCAATTGGAAGGATGGAGTTACCGTGTTTGCTTTGCAGAAGACAAGGGTAGGAGCAGGAGCTGGCTGGGTAGAATACAAGGAACCAAGTTTTGGGCACTTTATACTGGAGATGCTTCTTAAGTATCCAAATGGAGCTGCTAGGGGAAACTTTAGACAAGCTTTAGATTCCAGGAGAGAAATAGGGAAGGTATGAATTTGGGACTGTCTATACATGACAGAGAGTCGGGGAGACTACATGACCTGACTGAGGTCCTGACTATAGATAGGGCCGAGAGAAGGTTGGCGTGGTTAGGAGTGCAGACATTCCATGTGCCTGTACTGGAGTGAGGGCAGCAAATATTCGTGCAGAGGTAGGTGGTGGGCAAGGAACTTTGGGATACTCTGATTGTTTCTATTTCCTCAAAGAATAGAGCAAGGTCATCAGCTGCAGGTGTGGATGGGGGCAAAGGTTTGAGATGAGAACCTTTGAAGCGGTCTTTGGAGAGAGAAGGGGTTGTAAAGTTTTGGGTACTGGATGGGAGTGAAAGTCCACTGGCAGTGGTTTGAATTCGAAGAAAGACAAGTGAATGTGTGATGGTTTTGCTGCATGCATGCTGTCTTTGGGGTAGGCAGAGGAACTGGTGCAAAGGTAAACATGCAGTGAATATGAGCGTGGTGCTGGCACTGTGTTCGGTCAGGGAATACAGGATAGAAAATACTTCTCCTGTCACCTCCTGTAAACTTTAAACAAGGTAACATAGAGGATTAATAAGCATCAAAAGAAATGTGTCGCTGTAGTTCTAAGAGGGCTCTAAGCCTTGGAAGTTATGAGAATACAAAATTAAACAGTTTCTCAGTCCAGTTTGGGGGTTCAATGAAGATTTTTCTGGAGAACATGATGCCTGAGCAGAGTATAAATTTATATGTTAAAAATTGAATAACTGATTGGAAAGTGTTCTGTGTGAAAGACACTCTAGATATTGGAGTTCATCAGATGAAGAAAGGTGAGGAAGGTTCTTTGTGTGGTACAGTTAAGGTAACTTCAACAAGATCATGGAAAATGAAATTAAAAGATAAGTTATCTTTGTACAAACAGATTTTCAATTTTATGCATAGTTTTTCTTACTATTCATTTTCATGAACCTTTTGAAGATCTCTTGTATGCATAGATTTCAAAGCCCTTTTCACCAAAATTTTTTATTTTTTAATTCCATTTTCCATGAGCTTTTGTGGAGTAGTCTTTTTTTATATTTTATTTAATGAACATAAATTTCCAAAGTACAGCTTATGGATTACAATAGCTCCCCCCCCATAACTTCCCTCCCACCCACAACGCTCCCCTCTCCCACTCCCTCTCCCCTTCCATTCACATCAAGATTAATGTTCAATTATCTTTATATACAGAAGATCAATTTAGCATATATTAAGTAAAGATTTGTGGAGTAGTCTTGTGTCATGGAAGTAGACTTGTGGAGATGAGAAAAGTACTCTCATACTATTAGACTGGAGAGTAAGAAGGAAGTGTAGCTGAAAGTCTGTGAGGAACTTTGGACACTAAGAGGAATCGTAAGGGACTGACATTGTGTCGTAGTGGGCTACGCTATGCTGACATCCCATATGGGTGCTGGTTTGAGACCCAGCTGCTCCATTTCTGATCCAGCTCTCTGATAATACTCCTGGAAAAACAGCAGAGGATGGCCCAAGTGCTTGGACCCCTGCACTCACATGGGAGACCTAGAAGAAGCTCCAAGCTCCTGACTTTGGCCTGGAACAGCCCTGGTCATTGGGACCATTTGGGGAGTGAACCAGTGGAGGGAAATTCTCTCTCTGCTTTTCAAATAAATAAAAATCTTTTTTTAAAAGGGGAATCATGAGAGGACCCAGCATTTAGGTGTTGGATGGTTTAAAGTGGGGAGGGGCCGGCGCCATGGCACAGTAGGTTAATCCTCTGCCTGCGGTGCTGGTATCCCATATGGACACTGGTTCTAGTCCTGGCTGCTCCTCTTCTAGTGCAGATCTCTGCAGTGGCCTGGGAAAGCAGTAGAGGATGGCCCAAATCCTTGGGCCCCTGTACCCAAGTGGGAGACAGGGAGGAAGCACCTGGCTCCTGGCTTTGGATTGGTGCAGCTCTGGCTGTGGCGGCCACCTGGGGAGTGAATCAATGGATGGAAGACCTTTCTCTCTGTCTCTCTCTCTCACTGTCTGTAACTCTACCTTTCAAAATAAATAAATAAAATCTTTTAAAAAAAGTGGGGAGACATAGTGGAGACCTTACTTGGGAGGTACAGCAATGGATCAGTGTGAGGTGTTGGACTGTATGTACAAATTTAAGACTATAGGCATAGGGATGGAAAAACAGTAATGGGTTTGAGATAAAGTTGTTGGGGCTGAGTGTTTTTTTTTCTTTTTTTTTTTCTTTAGTGCGGAGGATGGTGTGTCTTAATTTTTACCCCACTCCTTGAGTACAGAAAACAAAACTGAGCCATTCATTTCAAAAATGGGTGTCATTGAATCCAGAGGCAGGGTAACATTACACACATAGATTGTTTACACTATTAGCATTATTAGCATACACGCTTTTTTTTTTTAAAGATTTATATATTTATTTGAAAGTCACAGTTACACACAGGGAGAAGGAGAGGCAGAGAGAGAGAGAGAGAGAGAGAGAGAGAGAGAGAGAGAGAGAGAGGTCTTCCATCCACTGGTTCACCCCCCAGTTGGCCACAACGGCCGGAGCTGTGCTGATCTGAAGCCAGGAGCCAGGAGCTTCCTCTGGGTCTCCCACATGGTGCAGGGGCATAAGGACTTGGACCATCTTCTACTTCTTTCCCAGGCCACAGCAGAGAGCTGGAGGAGTGGAGCAGTCGGGACTCAAACCGGCACCCATGTGGGATCCTGGCACTGCAGGCAGCAGCTTTACCTGCTACGCCACAGCACTGGCCCCATACATGCTATTTTGATGGGAGATTAGTAGGCTCTTTTTTAAAATACGAAGATAACCTATTTATTTCTTCTATGTATAGTAATTAAATATGATTTATTAATGTTAAAATAATTTAATAAAAATAATAAGATATATTTTGTGTAAGTTCATGTCTTAGGTAAAGCATTATGTCCTGGTTTTACTTAGTGAAGTTTGCATAGTCAATTCAGTTATAAGTTCCAGGAGAGATAGTGCTAACTCCAAGACAGAATCTTCACTCTGATGTGGAATAATGGATTTATCAGGGAGAGCAGCAAAGAAAACCTTGGCTGTATGCCTAGTTCTTCTGCTTCCTCTTGGGGAGGATATTAAACATCTTTGTGGTTAGCATATGTAAATGGATGTCCTGACATATTTCTTTAGGCTGAGTGTATGGCTTAGAATATTAATGTGTAAAAATGCTTTGATAATTATTTCATGAATGTTCATGTGAAAGTGTTGACAAACATGTTTTATTGAAACTAAGACACTCACAACATACCATCTTCCGTTTTTTTCCTACTTGCACAGTGTAAAGAACATGACCTGGCCATGATTAACCAGTTGCTGGATGATCCGAAGCTGACAGCAAGGAAATATAGAGAGTGGAAAGTCATGAACACCCTGCTGATCCAGGACATCTACCAGCAGCAGCGGGCTGCACCTGTCCCCGAGGGTGACCCCCTGGAACTCAGGAAGTCACCTTCTGGCTGTGTTGAAAATTCTATTTGAGGACATGCCAGGATTGTCTCATCTCTCACTTTACCAAGGCAATTCTTCAAGAGGTTGCAAGAACTTAGGTCTTTCCTTAAAAGGAAAACTGAAACCCAGTTCCTCAAACATCAGCTTCCCCTCTGAAGATGCAATGTAGATGAAAAACATCACCAAAGACAGCAGTCTTCTCATTGCATTTATCACACACCATCGAGGACACAATGACTAATTTCACTTGAACAGTGTGTTCCCAGCTGTGTGTTCCTATTGGAAGCTCACAAGGATGCGAGGTTCTGGGTGGAGTATGAGAAATTTATCTTTTGTTCCTTGCTCTCAAAAGAATTACAGCATTCTATGGACAAAAGATCAGATTTTAATAAGGTTCTTATTCATAGAAATGTTCTGTTTTCCAAAAAGAAGAATGTGCACTTTCTACCCGGTTGGGTAGCTGAGTTCTATGAATCATGTTCTGAGTGGAGGAAAACTTCCTTCAGCAGCAACGGGGGTAGGACAGATGTGATGTTGTGGACTAAATCGTCTTGCCTTTGGTGCAGAATGGTGTGGTGCCTTTTCCACTTGTTGGGAAATACTTCATAGAGCACAGGAAAGCCCAACAAGGGGGTGTGTTCTACATTCCACTCACTCAGAGGACGGCTTGATATTTTCACACCCACGTTGAAGGATCTGATTAATGTTTCTTTTTCTTGCAACTGTGAGAGGAAACTGTCTCATTATGGTTGGAGACCTATGCTCGTTCCTCTCTCCTCTAAGCAAATACAGGACAGAGTAATAAGCCCAGAAAGGAATGTTTGCTGCTTTTGTCCTTGGTTGTGGCACCTTCACACAAAATGAATTTATATCCAGTTTTCCGTGGATCAGTATTGACAAGATGATTCTGATGTCTGAAATTTTAATATCCTCGCTCAACAAATCAACAAGCAAACAAACCTCAGACAGAACACACACACACACACACACACACACACAGAACAACAAAATCAACAAGAGTTAAAATCACAATTGTTTTATTTTTGTATGTTTGTGCATTACTTTGTGTGCTATGTGAATAGCTATAATATGTATGTTATTTAAATATATTTATAGAAGTTAAAATTACTAGTGTTTTAAAAAGATGATATACTATTGTATGTTTTGCTCGCATATATTCTTAAAGTATATACTTTTTGCTTGAGAAAAATAAGAATACTGGTGATTCATTGGAGTTAATACGTTGCACTATAATGTATGAGGAATGCTCAGGAAATCTTGTAGGAAAAATATGCGGGCATGGATTGAACTTCAGTTCTCCCGCTCTCAGTCCATTCCCCACACCCTCCAGCTCGTAGGTTTCTCTGTCTATTTTAAGCACTGATCTTAACCAGAAAAAGACTTCCATCATACGTTATTATTTCTTTTTAATAAGCTTTACACTTTGTGCCACTTATGGCCCACAAACCTCTACCAAATAAAACACAAATAGTGTAATCTTTTGACTAAAGGACAGATAGAAAATTTTGCAGTCACTTTTCAAGAAAGCCCATAAAGAAAAAATGTGAAAGTCTTTTAATCACCATGAATATAAGGGGTCTTTAAAAAACTATGGAAAATACCTATATGAAAGAACTTTGAACTTCAAAATTTATTTATACCAAAACAAGTTTATCTGCTTGAACTTCTCACCATGAGAATAAGCGTGATCCGCCAAGGAGTCATTTGGGCCCTCCCTGTCCTAGCAAACTGTTGGCATAACACATTTCATGTTGTAGTCTAAGTGTGACTTGACAGTTGGATGGAAATAACCTCCTAAACTGTGTCTGCAAACTCAATGGAAAAAGTTGTTGAATATTTCCCCAAGCTTTACTCAGAAGTTTTTCCCCCTACTTTGTAAACAAATCAACCTCAGCGAGAAGAATGAAGAAAACAAGGTGTAGTATTTGAAGCTTCTCCAAGCTAAGAGGCACCATGACCAGTGAGTCCCAGCAGGTGGTTAGGCCCTCCTTTCTCTACCAAGTGGGCATGGAGAAGGGGAGCTCTGACCCCAGGTGAAGCTGTGGTCAGTGCCTGGGAGAGGTGGCTGTTCAGATCCTCTGCTTGATGCTTCCAGTTTGAGAGGCCATTTCTTTAGCCTCTTTACTCCGGAAAAGACCATGGATTCTTTCTGTGACTGGCAGGTTATTGGTTTGGGATTCACCATATCAGCAAGGTGCTAAGGCAAGCAGAAATAAGAATTCAGAGTATCCCCAGTACAGCATAAAGTGTTCTTCCAGCCTTTTGATTTGGTTTGCACTTTGGTTTGCACATCCGATAAACTTCCAGAGCTTTTTCCTAAATGGAAGAGCTCCAAAAGTTTTTGACCATGTTTGGCAAAACCTTGAAATGCTTTGGCTTTTCCTTGTTGCAAAGGACAGGTCTCCAAAAGTTCAAGGAAAATGTGCATTGCCTCTTGATTCCATCTTCCATGAACGTTTCCAAGCCCTTGTATTAACTGATCTTTAAGTGGGAACTCCTTGAGTACCATTCAGACTTAAAAGCAAAATATCTCCATGAGATCACTTAACCAAGACTTAAAGTCATTTTTCAAGGTCGCTTCAGGGAGATTGGCCTAGAATTTCTATTTTCTTGGTTAAAGCTGACTTAGCGGAACCTCCTGTGATGAAAGCTGGAGGGAACTGCCTGATTTTTCACCCTGCCCTTCTAGACCAAAATCAACCCTTCATGAGTGTTTTTACCTCTATAAATGCTTTTACTCTGAACTAGGAAATAAGGGGTTGCTTCCATGATGCCCACTCTCCGCTCTAGCCACTAAAGGGAGGTAGGGGCCAGGGCAGAGTAAGTGAAACAGAGGGGGACACTTTCCACGACACTTATGCAGGGGCAACCCTGGTAACTTCTCTCTGGGCCTTGGATTGCTTTTCTGGTCCAAGTGATATTGGGAGGACTGTATTACTTCCTGTTTATTGCTGGGGAGTGAGTCCTCTCTGAAATGGATTTTAGATAGTTTGATGGGGGCTGTGGTGACTCCTATGGCCATTGGATGTGTGAGGGGCTGGAGACTCTCCATGTTGGTTCAGACCCATGTAACCTGGTAAGGATTAAGGTCTGCAGAGCGCTCCATTTTGGGGTTGTGGGGAGCACAACTCTCTATCGGCAACCTGTAGTCTAGACTGGAGCCTTATATAACAGACTCCTCCTGACTGGTTGGCACGTGGCAAACACATGCTGAGTCCGATTGTCAGTCTTGCATTTGAAGGGCATTTGTGACCTTAAGGAACTCATAGCTCTGCCACAACAGCTCAAATAGAATAAGATGAAAGTACTGGAAAGAATCATACAGCATGTGATGCGGAGGACGCCTAGAAGCCTAAGACAGAGACTGTGTTTGTACTCAGAGTTCAGTGTGAAGCCCATGCCTTTTTACAGAGCTCTTATGGTTTGCAAATTGGTGTGTTCCAGCCACAACCTTCTCCCCTCCTCCCTCCCCTCAACCCCTACTTCTCCTGCCCACCCAATGGTCCATGCAGCATGACTGTGGATTATCAGTGCAGTGAAATGCCTGGGCTGGAGCCCCGAATGGTGAAGCCAGAACTCTAGCTTGATCCCAGGTCTCTCAGCACTCCCTTCCCTGATACTTTGAAAATGCCTGTTGTAGTAGAGCCCCTCAGGGAACAATGCCTGTGATGTGGGGCATGGGCTGCATCTCACTGGGCTGGTTGTGGTGGCTTTTTGCTAAATTTTCCATTTGAGCCCTGAAGGACCTGTTTGCCCTCTGCTGTGATCTGCTGCCGCACTGTCTGCAGTGTGGTCTGACCCAGTCACTAGATGGTCCTGTCTTTCCGCTGTAGATTACACTTGTTTGTGGTGCTGTGAGATCCTGTGGGAAGAGGTATGGTTAAAGACTTGAAGAGTGCGATGCTAGTTTTGTTTGCCATTTAAAGTCTTGTCAGGGGCTAATTGCAGACTCAATTTGTGATTGGGGATTAGTCCCTTAACCATCCTTACTTTACTTCTTGTGTAATTATAATTTCATCATGTAGCTTTCACATCACAATGCCATTAAGGTAAATAAAATAAAGGAAAAATACTTTTAAGTCTTTTGAGGAGAGGTACTGCACAAATTCGAGCCATATTTAGATTCACGGACACATACCTCTTTGTAAGAAAGATGATATTTTGTTACAGCCACACAGATGATTTAGTAAGTAGTTTAGGTACACAGTGTTCCTGTCCCAAAGTCACTTTATATTGAAAAGCTATTATATGCAAACAAAGTTCTAGAAAGTGTCTCTTCTTTAGTCTAATAGAATACGGTATCTGATTGGGAGTTGCCAATTTATTTCCCTTCCACTATTTTGTATACTTACCTCCCAAGAGAAACCGAGTCTCAGGCATGGGAGGTGGTGGCCTTGCTGAGGTTTTGAAATACATCATTACTAATCAAAGGTCTGGGGAACTGGATTTTCACCAGTCTAACTCCGCCTTTCACCCTACCTGGAATGGACTGGGAGTCGCGGTACGTAATCTACCCCTGACGGAAAGGGGAAGCCGCCCTTCTCCATGGTGAGGTGTCGAGCTGCTGCGTGTTTCTCGGTGTGCAGACACAGGAAGCTATTTTATTTCATTTTTGCTTTTGCTTCTTCTGTACTTCTCAACTCTTTCCCATCATACCATAGAAAACATTAAAAAATGGAGTCTGCATTTTAAAAATTGCTTTAATCTCTCTCCTGTTGTGAGAAGAGGTAACTGCTTTGTGTAGATCTCTCTTTACCTTTAGTCTGAAGGGGGAGCATGACCCATAGGGACATTTTATATCCCCCACTGAAACCCAGGCCTTCTGGTCACCGTGTTCTTGCATGTCGGGGATGTGACTTCTAGCACTGCATGGTGTTGGGGCAAGATGTTAATGTGAAAATGATACCTGAAATTTAATTGTACTTTTTGTTCTTTGTCACCTTGTCCTTTTGACTAAACTGAGAAAAGAGGCATGGCTGGTTTCTCCTGCTTTTTGTTTTCAAGGTTGACCTGTAAGATGGAAATAAGAGAAAACGTATCTAGTAAAATGACATGGAAAAAAATTGAAATGCATTTCTGGTGTTCATTTTCTGTGTTGTGCTCTGGCTTCCTCAAAAGAAAAATTCTCTGGGACTTAGTGGCTGCTCTTTGATCTTCTCCAAAGGTTACAGTGCCCTCTGGTGGAGTTAGAAGGAAAATGGCTTCTAGACTCAATGTTAAAATAAAAGATCTAATTACATTGAGAAATCTGTTTCAACTATAGCTGCGGTGGCCTTCTCTGATGGTTCTGTTTGCAGTTTTTTTTTTTTGTAAGATAATATATATATTTTTCAAAAATTGCTATTGGTTCAAAAATTTGATTTTGGCATTATATTACTTCTTACCACTCCTAGGCACCTACATCTAGTTTGAAAAATTTTTAATGTTTGCATATTATAAAAGTTATATGCTATGGAATATAAATTTCCTTAAAAATATGTAACACATTTATGTGACAATCAAACAGAGAATATTGAAATAAATTCTTTCTTTTGAATCCACTGATCAGAGGAAGTTAGCCTGCATTTGGCTGTGATTCACCTCTCCCTCATTGCTGACTACACAGAGTTTTCATTTTTTCTTTCTCCTTCAATTCTGACCTTACGTGCTGAACTGCAGTCTCTTCTTTCCATCCTATCACCCCCAAATATTTCTAGGTTCCCACATGTAATTAGTAAAATTTATTTTAGATCAAAGGGATTAGGTATGGCTGGCTCTGTGGCTCACTAGGCTAATCCTCCGCTTGCAGCGCCGGCACCCCGGGTTCTAGTCCCGGTTGCTCCTCTTCCAGTCCAGCTCTTTGCTGTGGCCTGGGAGTGCAGTGGAGGATGGCCCAAGTGCTTGGGCCCTGCATTCCCATGGGGGACCAGGAGGAGGCACCTGGCTCCTGGCTTCGGATCTGTGCAGCGCTGGCCGTAGTGGCCATTTGGGGGGTGAAGCAATGGAAAAGGAAGTTTTCTCTCTCTCTCTCTCTCTCTCTCTCTCTCTCTCTCTAACTCTGGCTGTCAAAAAAAGGGGGGGGGGAATTAGGTAAGGCATAGTCTTTCTAGAACTGTCTTGTATTAGTTTCCTAATTTGCTTCTGGGAAAAAGGACCTGGATTTATCAGTTTAAGCAAATTTATCTTGGGGATCTGCAGGTCAGAGGTCTGAGGCTGGACCCCTGAGATAAAACTGAGGTCTTGGCAGGACTGTGTTCCTCCTGGAGGCTCTGGAGCGAATCCATTCCCTTACCTTCTCTGGGCTCAAGAGGGCGCCCACGTTGCCTGCTTCTTGGCACTCTTTCTGGTCTTCCAAATCTGCAACTCTGTATCTTTCTGAGCCTTTCCTTTGTAGCCACATTTTCCTCAGACTAATCTTTAAAGCCCTTCAGGATGACAGTGGGTGGGCCCACCTGGATAATCCAAGATAATCTATTTTAAAGTCAGTTAATCTGCAACCTTAACTTCCCCTGGCCATTCATTTACCTTTGTTGCAGAGGTCAGTGATGACAACATGGATGTTGTCCTGATTAACACACATTTCAGAGAGTGAGCTTGCTTAGTCCCCGGAACCATCAGTATCTCCCTTAAATTCCAGGATTCCCATGTTTTAGCTGCATGCTTGGGAGTTCTTTCTCATAGCATGTGGCTTGAATTTGCTTTCAAGACATGTTTACTATAAGAAGGTTAATTCTGTCTTTATGAGGAGAAAAGGAAGGAATTCCTGGATTTAAAAAATCATATGGTCACAGGCGTAATAAAAGACTGTATTTCCACACTGAGATCAGAGTTTCATAATACCTGCATTCAAAGACAGCTGGTGCAATGTCTCTGGTGTTTGAGGGGGTTCTGGTAACTGATGCAAAAAGACAGTACCAGGCCCAGATCTATGAACAATTTAAAGCAAAGTGTGAAAATGAGGCTCCTTGGCAGTATTTTTTTTAAAGATTTTATTTATTTACTTGACAGGTAGAGTTACAGACAGTGTGAGAGAGAGACAGAAAGAAAGGTCTTCCATCTGCTGGTTCACTCCCCAAATGGCCTCAATGGCTGGAGTTGTGCTGATCCGAAGACAGGAGCTAGGAGCTTCTTCCTAGTCTCCCATGTGGGTGCAGGGGCCCAAGCACTTGGGCCATCTTCTATTGCTATCCCAGGTCACAGCAGAGAGCTGGACTGGAGAGGAGCAACCGGGACTAGAACCGGCGCTCACATGGGATGTCAGCCCTGCAGGCAGAGGATTAACCTAGTGCGCCACAGCGCTGCCCCGCCCCCCCCCCCCAGCAGTATTTCAAGATAAAATAATTTTCTGTAATTAAAGGGCAGAAAGAATTGAAAAAAAACAGATGCAAAACTCAATCACTAAGATTGACAGAACTTCAAACAAGATTAAATTCCTAGCCTTTGCAAGTCTGCAATGCAAAAGTCAGGAGCCGTCAGAGGGATGTAACAGGACCCTCTGCTTTGGGATGGGGACATCCTGAGAAATGCACTTGAGGAACTTGAACCCTGCTTCACCTGAAACTTGCGAGCCTGCCTATGAGGCATAGCCCTGCTTTCTGGGAGATTCGTGCCTCCAAACCATTATGCTTAAAAATGATTCAGAGGCTTCCTGCGAGGCAGGTGTCTTAGAAGACGATGCTTGTCTTTGTCAGGCTTTCTCCTTACTCACCTTCCTGCTCACTCAGCCTATCGTTAGAGCCACCTCAGCATAATCCAACTGGAGAAGGACTGCGTTGGTTAAAGGAGGGGACCACTTACACATCAGCTCACTCAGAACCAGCTGACTGGCTGGCAAGAACCAGGGAGCAAAGCAGGAGAACAGGTCCTGAAGGGGCTGGATTCAGGACAACAAGGAGAGGACATCAGGTTAGATATGGGAAAGCTAATTAACACAATTTCAATGCACCAGTCCTTTTTCATGCCACAGGAGTTGATGCCCTGGCAAGAGTCTTGGGACACAGGTCCCAAGTAAATAAATATAAATAAAGAATAAATAAAATGCCACACCCAACACATATTCCTGCAGATTCAACCAAGCAACAGCTCCAATTATAGCTGTTGTGTTGGGTGTGGTTTTTTATTAACACAGATTACAGCGTGCCACTGACATGATCTCCCGAGGAAGCCTGGAAAAGTGACAGTCCATGATCACAACCGTGGGAGCAAACTGTGGAGGAATGGATCTAAAGGCCTGGAGGTGTGGTGTAAAGGGATAAAAAATGAATTATAAAAAAAAAAAAACAAATGAGCTGATACGTGTCTAATGGATCCACAAGAGGACACTATTAATGCAATAAAGAATATACTGGTGAGAGTGCTCCTAGCATCACTGAGAAGCTTACAGGGCTGTCCTGTGTGATTGAAGTTGAAAGTAGGAGAGCCTACGATGGAAAAAGAACTCTAGCATCAGTGGGGGTGACAGACTCTTGGTATGATAGAGGTCAGATGGCAGCACTTAGTCATAAGCAAGGTGGTCAGAATTAATGGAATAGCAGCTTGCAGCTGGAGTAGTGACCATTTGGATCTTGGGGGATTGCTAACAGAATATGATATTCCTAGATACAAGATGTATGGAAAACCAATGTGTGTGTGTGTGTGTGTGTGTGTACACGTATATGAGTATATATGTATATATTCAAAATGGGTCAAGAATGGATATGCAGAAAGAGTTCTTCCAACAAAAGTCACACGGGGCTGGCACTGTGGTGCAGTGTTAAAGTACTGGCCTGAAGTGCCAGCATCCCATATGGGCGCTGGTTTGAGACCTGGCTGCTCCACTTCCAATCCAGCTCTCTGCTATGGCCTAGGAAAGCAGTACAAGATGACCCAAGTTCTTGGGTGCCTGCACCCATGTGGGAAACCTGGAAGAAGCTCCTGGCACCTGGCTCCTGCCTTCGGATCGGCTCAGTTCCTGCTGTTGCGGCCATCTGGTGAGTGAATCAGTGGATGGAAGACCTCTCTCTCTGTCTTGCACCTCTCTCTGTAACTCTGTCTTTCAAATAAATAAAATAAATATTAAAAAAAATCACAATCTCTTGTTCTGTTTTTAGACCTAAGACTTAAGAGGAGGCCATTTCCCATGAGGAAAATCTTAGAAACACCATGAGATACAGGTGTTTCCCCAAGTCTTTCATAAGGGAGCCAATAACCATTTACCTGGGAAATCACACAAGGGGGAAGTGGAATACGTGTGTTTTTCCAGGGAAATTAGATACAGGGTCCAAATTGCTTCCAAATTGCTCCCGATTTCTGGGAACAACTGGAAAATATCACAGCCCCTTTGTTAAGGTAGGGGCATGTGGAGGTCAACTAATAAATGCTTCATATATTCACTGGTTTCTAAATGTATAATTGGAATAAGCATACCTGGCAGTGGAAGAATTCTCATGTCAGTTCTTTGACCAGTAATAGTTACCATAGAGAGAGAGGCCAAGCAGAATCTTCAAATCCACCTCCTTCAGGGGAAAATGTAAATAAAGTTAATGTTTCATCTAAAGGGAATGACAGAGATTGGTGTTGCCTTTAAAGACTTTAAAGATGCAAGGATAGTGGTCCCTATGCATCCTATTCAACCCACCAGTTTGTCTACTGACAAATCTAGATGAATCATGACCAATTACAATATACTCCTGTATAGCCAAAGCCCACGTACTTACAGTTATAATCTGTGTTAATAAAATGCCACACCCAACACATATTCCTGCAGATTCATCCAAGCAACAGCTCCAATTACAGCTGTTGTGTTGGATGTGGTTTTTTATTAACACAGATTACAGTTGTAAGCACGTGGGCTTTGGCTAGGTAAGCACATTCTTCTCCATCACCCGTGAAGGAAGATGGGAGCATTTCAGATTTATGTGGGATGGAAACAATGCATAATTTATCATATTTATGCTATCACCCCATGGTGATTGCTTCTGCTATGTGTCACAATAAAGTGGGGCATTTCAGAAGTGGAGCCTAGTGGAGCATCTGTAGGTGAATTGGGGGCATGCTCTCGAAAGGGATCAAGGTGATTCTGATGCTACTGTGGTTAGCTCTTGCAGCAGCATTGCTATAAAAGCTTGAGCCTGGTCTCACCTTGTCTTCCTGTTTGAGATGTTCTCTCTCACTCTAACAGGTTCCCTGCTATTGCCATCTGCCATGAGGTAATGCAGTCAAAAGGGCCCTCCCAAGAACTGAGCTGATGCCAACACCATGCCCTAGCACATCTGTGAACATTGTTTTCTTCATAAGTAGAGTGCCTCAAGTATTTCACTATAGTAACACAAAACTGAGTAATACAGACTACTAATACCCTGTGGCCGCATTTGTGACTGCCTCTGAAAGCCAATGATGAGTGGAAAACCTTCCATGAGGAAGAGTTCCAGGTAATGTGTCTGTTTATCAGGGTTGTGTGGAGAGAGGCATGACCCAGAAATCATCAAAGTCAGGGAGTTCTGATGGAGAGGCTTATGGATGTACTCCTGAGTGGGAACAGTGTGTGAGCCCATCTGATCTTTACAG